AATTGTGTAATAAGTTACACAAAAAAAAGGCCCAGTTTCATTTTAATCCGATTTCATTATAAGCTGCCACAATAAATGTTTTAATCAATATACCGTATCCTGCTGCAAATAAGCACCCCTTTTGATCATAGTAAGGGGTGCTTATTCATGGCAAAATTTTAAGTACTTAAAAATTTAGAAATAGAATTTCCGATTACTACATAATCACTATGTAACCTCGCAAATCATGCATATACAGTATATTAATACAGTAATATATAATAAATAATACTAATATAGTATTTAATGTTAATAATATATATCATAACGAAATTTTGTTATAGTAAAATTCTATACCAATATTATATAGTTTGAGTTCACTAAAAAAAAACAGACCCATAACAATACTTTTTGTATTAAATAATTTAAATTTTTTTAAGGTTTAGAGACTTTACGGCAAAATAACTTTACTGGTAGATTGAAGTTACTAAAATAACTACCAAAAGTTTGTATGAAATAAATGAATATGTACATACCGTATATACAAAAAATTTAAGTGAACTAATTTTTATTAATTTATTACTTGATTAATATTAACAGACATTTATTATATATATTTCAGTATGACACATAAATAACGCATCTAAGCCAAAATTTAATCTTATCTGAAAACCTACGCCTATTTTATTCAAGATATGACATATACACTGTATCAATATAAAATTATTTTTTCTGTCTCAAAATGACTTTCAGAAAATAAATACTGGTATCTTTTTTCAAATACAAGTGAATAATAAATAAATATTACAATAAATTGAATCTATAAATTCTAAAAATGCTGTATTTTGATTCTTTATTTGATGACCTCTCAGAATCTCTGTTAAATTTGGAGATTAAATAATTACTATAGCTTGATTGGAAGTTAAAGTATATTGAAAAAATTTTTGATTTTAACTCGAACTACAAGTTTGAACTGATATAGAATATGCTATGATTTGTACAATTTTTTCTATTATCTAATAGTGTAATGTCTAATCTATTGATCCAACTTGAACTTCTTGCAGCTTGGTTAGAATTTATTAAATAAATTAAATTCATGATGCTACAGTACTAATAAACTATTAATATCAGGATTATGTAACTCAGGTGCTCATTTTTTACCTTGATGATATTGAGGATGTTCATAGATTATTGTAAGCTAAGTAATTGAGAGCGTAAGATAGTAAAAGGTAGTAAAAAGTAGTAAGTTAAAAGTATTACACAAAATATGTAATTAAAAAATTGTTGTTAATATAAATAACTAGTATAAAAAAAGTTACCAGTATTTAAACAAAATAAAAAATGACTGTGGAATTTAAAAAAATTATAATATATTCTGGTTTTGTAATTAAAAATTTTTCTAGAATTGATTATTATTCAAGTGTGTTCATCTTAATGATAATAATTACTAGGAAACAGGTGCTGTTAGATGTCTGAAGTGAAAAAGGTAAAAAAAAAAGAATTGGCTAATAGTAAGTATAGTGACAATCATCTGATCTAAAAATAGATGCAGACATAAACACACACAAAATCATGTCTATCACTACACCTTAGATCATCCTCTGCTACGCTTCGGACAATAAGACGTAAGTAATATTAAAGTAATCAGAATACTTGCCCGATTATTTGTATTTTTTGATGTGTCTTCAATTAATATTATATAATACCTTTTGACTGTATATAAATCAGAGTGTAAATAAATAAATAAATATATCAATTGTGATCATTTTGAAATAATTACTTTTTTTTACTTGCTTTTGTTGAAATGAAAGAAAAACGTAGAAGTTACTCTGTAAGTTTAAAACTTGAAGCGATTAATTATACCAAAAAGACAAACAATCACACCGCAGCACAAATATATAATGTTGATCATACTCAAGTCGGAAGGTGGAGAGAAAAAGAAAAAACAATAAAAAACACAAGAAAGACAAGCCACAGAGTGGGCTCTGGTTCTTTATCATTATACCTACTTGCTGAAGAATCATTAAAAGAGTGAATAATAGATCGGCGTTTAAGAGGAATAGCAGTTATATCTAAGGATGCTAAATGTCATATGATTATTTTACTTACCGGTACTTAGAAGTTTAGACTTTCATACCCTAATGCTATCAACAATTTTAAAGCCTCAGGTCAATGGCTTGACCATTTTATGAATCGTTTTGACTTTTCTTTTTGAAGGCATACTAAGGCTTCTCAGAAACTTCCTAAAGATTTATGTGAAAAAGTTATTGCATTTCATGAATTTATTAATAATTTGTGAAGAAACAATAACTTTGACCTCAATTGTATTACTAACATGGACGAAACTCCTGTTAATTTTGATATGGTGGGTGCTCTTATGCTTGATAATCGTGGTGTTAGGTCAGTGCCCATTTGTACAACAGAATCCTCCAATGAATATATTCAAGGGAAAAAGAGTCCCTAAGGGATGTTATTCTCCTGAAGTAGTTGTTAAAATGCATGAAAATGAATGGATAGATGAAGAGTTGATGGTAGACTGGTTAGAATTGGTTTGGAAACAAAGACCTGGAGGGCAAAAGAGGTCGTTATTAGTCTTTGATTCTTTTGAAGGACATCTTACTATATCAGTAAAAAACAAATGTTATAAAATAAATACGGTCTTGGGAGTTATTCCTAGTGGACTCACCTCTATAGTACAACCTTTAGACGTAAGCATCAATAAATCTTTTAAAGACCAGCTTCATGAAAAATAGAATACTTGAATGAATACTAGAAAACATAAATATACTAAAGGAGATAGAATGAAAAAACCAGAGTATGACTTGATGTGTCATTGGATTATAAAAGCATGGAATGACATTCCGGCAGAAATTATTATCAAGTCTTTTGAAAAGTGCGGTCTTTCTAATGTATTAAAGAATGAAGATAATGCTAAAGAAATTAAATACGAATTGGAAAAATTAGGTGATATCGAAGAGGTTGAATATGATATAGTGTTGGGTGATGAAAATAAAGAGAATGAGGAAATTATTGCAACAGCTAGAACACATAATATAGAAGTTACAGAGAGAAATCACTTGATCGAAATAGATGAAAGGGAAGAATAAATATTGTATTGTATTAGTAAACAATATGAATTCATCTTTATGTAATGCAAAAATGATATTTAAATTTTTAAATTATCTAATATATATAAATATTATCTCTGCATATGCTAACTATTAATAGTAAACTAGAATATGTACGTACATATGTTCGTATGTATATACCACTATGTATTAAAATGTCAAATTATAATAATTTATTTATGAGGCTGCAACAAATATTTAAAAAAAATTGGTAAAGAAATGTGTAATCTGCATAATAAAGAAAGATTGAAAGACTAAAATTCTTGTTCAATTATTCAACTTCTAATAAAGAAGAAGCAAACCCAGTTAATTTTTGCTTCTAAGTTAATCTGCATAACGAAGAAAGATTGAAAGACTAAAATTATTCAACTTCTAATAAAGAAGAAGCAAACCCGG